CAAGGCGGCCGCCCGGCGATCGCTGGACTGCCGTCCGAAGGCCGCCGAACCCCGCGCCGACGGCGGAGCTGGCCGAACGGTGCTCGAAGGCGGCAACCGAGGATGGATGTGCTAATTGGTGGTGGAGGAGGAGGAGGAGGCGGAGGCGCGCACAGGCGGCAAGCGAGGCGGCGGCGGCGGCGGCGGCGCGGCGCAGGAGGGGGACGCGGCTCGCACCAGCAAGCGCGCTCGCAGCGGCGGCGCGGCGGGTGCTGCGTCCGCGGCCGGCGTGGCGTCTGCCGCTGCTGCTGCTGCTGCTGGTTGCGGATTGCCGCGCCGGCCGCTGATCGTGACGCTAGGCGCGCGCCCTATCTCCCCCTGGGGAGATCTGGGGGAGATATGGGGAGATATTTCCCGCCCTCTGGATCACGGCGAGATATGGGGAGATACGGGGAGAGACTATTTGGGGAGATACGGGGAGATACGGGCAGGCCGGCAGAGATCGGCTGGCCAGACAGGCGACGCCGAGTCCCACGGCCAGGCTAGCGCGACACCCGCCTCTCAGCGCTCCACCGCTCCTATCGCGGCGCTAGGCACGCGCGGCGATGTGCAGCCCTTCCTGCCGCTCTGCCGCGCCATGGCGGCGGCGGGCTGGGCGCCGCTCCTTGCCTCGCTCGCGCCGTTCGCGCCGCTCGCCGCCGCCGCGGGCGTCAACTTCGCGCCGCTGGTGGAGGGCGAGGGCGCCGCACCGCCGCCGGTCGACGACCCGTCCGAAGGTGTGATCTCCCCCACATCTCCCCCACATCTCCCCCACACCTCCCCCACATCTCCTCCACATCTCCCCCACATCTCCCCCACATCTCGCCACATCGCCCAACACCTCCCCCCCAAGGCTTCTTCCACGGCGGACTCGCCGACTTTTACGAGGTGCACGAGATACGGGGAGATATGGGGAGATATGGGGAGATATGGGGAGATATGGGGAGATGTGGGGAGATGTGGGGAGATGTGGGGAGATATGTCAGCGGGCTCGCCGACTTTTACGAGGTGCACGGGGAGGCGATGCTTCTGGCGGTCGAGCGGCTGGCGGCGTCGCACCGCGCCGACTTGCTCGTGGCCCTAGAAGCTGACAGATCTCCCCATCTCTCCCAATCTCTCCCCATCTCTCCCCATATCTCGGGCCCTAGAAGCGGAACACGGATTCGTGTCTCCCAACCAGCACTCGAGAGGACACGCACTCAGCCGTATTCCGCCGTATCCGCCTGTGTTCACTGCCTTCCTCTCCGTTGTCTTCCCCCGCTGCTCTGAAGACACTTCGCAGTACCGTCCTCCCGCCCTGATGTCGGCCTATTCAGCGCGCAGGCTCGCAATCTCGCTGCACGAGGCCCCATATCTCCCCATATCTCCCCATATCTCCCCGTAGGCTCGTGGTTGGCTCATGCGTCTTCTGCCTCTCCTTTCTCCGCTCGCTCGGCCCGCCGCCCTAGAAGCAGGAGATCTCCCCATATCTCCCCGTATCTCCCCGTATCTTCCCGTATCTCGCCGCCCTAGAAGCGGAAGATCTCCCCATATCTCCCCGCATCTCCCCGTATCTTCCCGTATCTCGCCGCCCTAGAAGCGGAAGATCTCCCCATATCTCCCCGCATCTCCACCATATCTCCCCGCATCTCCCCATATCTCCCCGCATCTCCACCATATCTCCCCGCATCTCCCCATATCTCCCCGCATCTCCACCATATCTCCCCGCATCTCCACCATATCTCCCCGCATCTCCACCATATCTCCCCGCATCTCCACCATATCTCCCCGCATCTCCACCATATCTCCCCGCATCTCCACCATGTCTCCCCGCATCTCCACCATACCTCGCGCCCTAGAAGCGGAAGACGCGCTCTCTTGTCTTCCCAACCCACGGCTCTCGAGGGGAGGCGCACCCCGCCACACTCACTCCCCTTGTGTCGCTCGCACCCCCGCGCTGCTCTGAAGACTCTGCACAAGACCGCCTGCCCCCGCCCCCGAGGCTGGTTGGTGCCTTCAGCACGTGTGCTGGGGATGATGCTGGGGAGGAGGAGGCAGAGCTGGGGAGGGGGAGATGATCACCACATCCCCGCATCATCCCCATATCTCCCCGCATCTCCACCATATCTCGCACCCCGCACTGTTGCCACCCGCACCACCCATATCTCCCCGTATCTCCCTGTATCTCCCTGTATCTCCCCCGTATCTCCCCATATCTTCCCGTATCTCGTCGCCCTAGAAGCAGAAGATCTCCCCATATCTCCCCGTATCTCCCCATATCTCCCGCACTGTTGCCACCCGCACCACCCACGCGACTGAGCCCGCACTGGATTCGAGACTCTGGAGGTGCGGTACACGTAGGACCGCCGATTGCACACGTCCGTTTCGCCCCGTACGGACCCGTCGACCCCGAGCAGCAGCAGCAGCAGCGGCAGCAGCCGCAGCAGCAGCAGCAGCAGCAGCGGCAGCAGCAGCAGCGGCAGCAGCAGCCGGCGTCCGGCATAGCTGCTCTCCGAGGGGAGACGGAGGGCGCAGCGCGCGAGCAAGCGCTGCAGGAGCACGACGCGGCGGCCTAATCTCGGCTGATCTCGCCTGATCTCGCCTGATCTCGGGTGATGTCGCTGCAGGAGCACCACGCGGCGGCGCACGCGCGCGACGTGGTGCGATGGCTGTCGGTGCAGAAGGCGCACGGGCTCATCTCGGGCCATCTCGGGCAATTTCGGGCCGTCTCGGGCCATCTCGGGCCATCTCGAGCCAATCTCGAGCCATCTCGAGCCATCTCGGGCAATCTCGGGCCAATCTCGAGCCATCTCGGGCCATCTCGAGCCATTTCGGCTCATCTCGAGCCATCTCGAGCCATCTCGGGCCAATCTCGAGCCATCTCGAGCCATCTCGGGCCATCTCGAGCCATCTCGAGCCATCTCGAGCCATCTCGAGCCATCTCGGGCCATCTCGGGCCAATCTCGGGCTAATCTGGTGATCCGCTGGGGCTTGTCCAAGGCGCACGGGCTCGGCGCCAGCATGGCGCGGGAGGCGGCTCTGTCCGACGACGACCTCGTGCGTGCCATGGTGACACTTCCTAGACACTTCCGAGACACTTCCGAGATGCTTCCTAGATGCTTCCGTAGACACTTCCTAGACACGACCTCGTGCGTGCCATGGTGACACTTCCTAGACACTTCCGAGACACTTCCGATATGCTTCCTAGATGCTTCCGTAGACACTTCCTAGACACGACCTCGTGCGTGCCATGGTGACACTTCCTAGACACTTCCGAGACACTTCCGAGATGCTTCCTAGATGCTTCCGTAGACACTTCCTAGACACGACCTCGTGCGTGCCATGGTGACACTTCCTAGACACTTCCGAGACGTTTCCGAGATGCTTCCTAGATGCTTCCGTAGACACTTCCTAGACACGACCTCGTGCGTGCCATGGTGACACTTCCTAGACACTTCCGAGACGTTTCCTAGATGCTTCCTTAGACACTTCCTAGACACGACCTCGTGCGTGCCATGGCCATGGAGCGCGATGTCATCCTGCTCGCTCGACTGACGGAGTAGTTCATCACGGCCCCCCTCCCCCTCATAGGTGCACATGAAGCGCGAGATAACGCTCCTCGCCTACCCGCGCTCCTGCGACGTGCCCCTCCCCAGCTCTGCCTCCTCCTCGTCCGCCGACGCTCCCGCCTCCGCCGCCTCCGCCGCCTCCGCCGCCTCCGCCTCCGAGGCGCCGCCGCGGCTGCCGTTTCGTTCCACCCCACCTCTGACCGGCGTCCCTCCACACGCCCCGCTGTGAACACGCTGTGAACAGGCGCCGCTGCTGCCGGGCCTCCCCTTCTCGCACATTGGCTTCTTGCGAGAGAGCGAGCCGCCGCCGGGCTGGTCTCCGCCTCCCGAGCTGGCCGCCTTCTTCGCCGCCGGCCCGCGGCGCCAGTGATTTCTGTTTTAGGGGCGGTACGTGTTTTCTTTTTGTAGGCCGCCTTCTTCGCCGCCGGCCCGCCCCCGCTGGCGCCCGCTTCCGGCTGTTGATTCGTCTTGCTCTACGCGGCGCGGGTCACTGTCCGGAGCAATTGATGACCAGGCGCTCGCGTTCGGCTCGATGGACGTGTACGCGAAGGCGCCGTGCGCCCGCGCGCCCCTCCGAGGCGCCGTGAGCTGATTACGCCGTGGATGACCTGTTCACAGGCGCCGTGGGCGAGCGCTCTGCTCGAGGCGCTGTCGCCGCAGCGGCGGGGCGGCGGCGTGCGGCTCCTCGCCATCGGCGCGGCGGTGCCGCGGGCGGTCCGGGGTTGGGCCGACACGTTGTGGGTGGCGTCGGTGCCGCACGCGTACGCGTTTCCGCGCTGCGCCGCTGCCGTGCACCATGGCGGCGCGGGCACGAGCGCCGCCGCCGCCGCCGCCGGCCTGCCGGCCGTGGTGGTGCCGTTCCTGGCGTGGTCCGACCAGTCCTCGTTTGCGGCGTGGCTGGTCTCGCGCTCCGCCGCTGTCCATCTCCCCCCCTCCTCTCGCTCCGCCGCCCACTTCGCCGGCGCGGTCGCCGCCGTGATGGGCGGTGCACCCGCGCTGCGCCGCGGCGCCACCGCGCTGGCGGGAGAGCTTCGGAGGTCGTCGCTGGCGGCGGGCGAGGCCGCCGTCGCCGCGCTGGACGCCCACTTCGCAGCGGCAGGCGGCGGCGGCGGCGGCGGCGGCGGCGAGGTGATGGCGCAGCTGGAGGCGCTGCGGTCGCTCGGCGGAAGCGACGCGGCCAAGCTGCGCTCGGGCTTGTACTGCTTGCTGCGCGACTCCGCCGTGGCGCCGCTGCGCACGTACGCGCTGCGCGACGCGTGGCTCGCGTCGCTGAGCAAGGAGCTGCCCGCGCACCCGCTCTACAAGCCCGACTGGCCGCTGCGCCACCGCGCCATCGATTTGCGCGTGCACGACTTGCCGCACGCGTCGTCGATGATCGAATGGTGGTACTTTCACGCCCACCTCGCCGCCGCGGACGGCACGCCCTACTGCGCGTTTGCGGCGTTCTTCCGCGTGCGGGTGGGTGGCGACCTCCTCTGCCACGCGCACGCCTCGCTGCTCTGCCGCGGCGAGACGCTCGAGGGAGGCACCCTCGCTGAATTAACGATTAATGAACGATTAATTAACTATTAATTAGGCGAGACGCACGCCTACTACTCGTGTGGCGAGCCGCACGCGGCGGCGGCCGTGCTGCGCCACCGGCAGGCGGGCCACTTTCGACACTACTCTCAACTCCCTCCCTCTCCTCTCCCCTCGCGTCCCCCCTCTTCTTTCTCTCCTCTCCCCCCTCTCCTCTCTCCTCTCTCGTCTCCCACCTCTCTCGCCTCTCGCCTCCCTCCTCTCTCCTAGCGCCTCTCTCCTACAGCCTCTCTCCTTCCGCCTCTCTCCGACCGCTCCTCGCCCCTCTCCTCGCTGCTCTCTCCGGCCGACCCTCCCATTGAACCTTCATGGAACCTTCCCGCAGCCGCGCCGAACCGACTACTTTGAGCGAGCGATGCACGAGGCGATGGCGAAGGGGGCGCTTCCGCTGCCGGATGCGACGGCGGCGCGCCGCTTCACCGTCCGCACCGACGCGTTTGGTATCGAGGCCGACCGGCTGTCGATGAGCAAGGACGAGGCGAGCGGCTCGTACCGCGTGCGCCTCTCCGCCGACCCGTCCGCGCCCGCCGGCACCGGCGCGGGGTTCGGGTTCGACCTCACCTTCTCCGCCACCAAGCCGGTGGTCCGCAACGGCGTCGACGGCGTCTCGCCCGGCGCAGAGTCGGCCGACGCCATGTACTACTACTCGATAACGAGGAGACAGTTCCGAGACAGTTCCGAGACACTTCCTAGACACTTCCTAGACACGATCTCGTGCGTGCCGTGGTGACACTTCCGACACACTTCCGAGACGCTTCCTAGACCCGTGCCATGGTGCACATAGACATGGACATGGAGCGCGATGTCATCCTCTCCTCTCCTCTCCTCTCCTCTCCTCTCCTCTCCTAGGATGCAAGCGCGGGGGACGGTGATCGAGCCGCCGCCGACGCCCGCGCCGCCGACGCCCGCACCCCTCCCGCCGACGCCGAACGCCGGGTCGTCGAACGGTCACGCCGACGGAAACGATGCGAACGGACGCGCCGCCAATGGCGTGGACAACGGACGCGCCGCCAACGGTCTGGACAGCGGAGTCGTCAACGGCCGCGCGAATGGGCACGCCGCGGGCGCGGGCGCGGTCGCGCTGCCGGTGCAAGGCGACGGGTGGTACGACCACGAGTTTGGCGGAGACGGCGCAAAGGGCGAGGCGCCGACCGGCGACGCGGCGTCCCCGGGCGTCGGAGGCGGCGGGCTCGGCTTGCCAGACGTGCAGTGGGTTTGGGCGGGGCTGCAGCTCGACGACGGCTCGGAGGTAATGGATGAATAACAATTGCACACTCGAGATTGCACAGCCACAGGATGTGTGCTGCTCTCGTTGGCTTCAACCCCTTTCTCCTCCGGACCGCCTCCTCCGAACACACCACGCCCACGACGCGCCCTGCATGTAAGCCAGCCGCTCTCTCTCCCACCCGCGCAGGTGGTCTACGCGCGCACGCTCGACACGACCAGCCTCGGCTCGATTGTCGACAAGGCGGTGCTCGTCGGCCGCGACGGCGCCAGCCGCAACGCCGACGCGGAGATGGCGCAGGTGGGCACGTGGACGTCGCTCCGCACCTTCATCAAGTACGGCTGCCGGTGGGCGCTGCGCGTGCCGAGCGAGGAGCTGGTGCTCGAGCTGGCCGCCGTCGCGGACGACCAGGAGCTCATTTCGGTCATCGCGACGCCGGCGTACTGGGAGGGGCAGGTGCGCGTCACGGGCTCGCGGCGCGGCGTGCCCGTGTCCGGAGTCGGGTTCGTCGAGCAGTACTTTGGCGCGCAGAACCACGACTTCCGCACCATGCTCGGCGGGGTGTCGGAGGTGGTGCTGCGCAACGTCGAGGCGGTCTACCCGCTCGCGCCGAGCCGGCAGCACCTCGTCGAGCTCACATCTCCCCAGATCTCCCCAGATCTCCCCCCATCTCCCCCTATCTCGGGCCCTAGGCAGCACCTGGTCGAGCTCGCCGTCTCGCGCGAGTTCGAGTCGGTGATGGCGGGGCTGCCGACGGACGCCTTTGTCGAGGGCCTGATCCGGCCGGTGCGCGCCATCACCGACCGGCAGGGCAAGGGGTGGAGGTCGATGGGGCTGCTGCTCGCGTCGGCGGTCGTCGGAGGTGCCCTCCGAGATGCGTCCATCGGGACACAGACCCGCAGCACATGCGTGGCTTGAGAGGCCCTGCGATGCGTTGCCCTTGCTAGGAGTCCTTGCTAGGCGGTCGCCCTACCTGGCCCTAGCGCCCCTCCACGCTTCGTCCGCCCCGGTACCTTCTTGACCTCCCCCTCCCCACCCCCTCCCTCTGCAGGGAGCCCGGCCAGCCTCGAGCGCTTCACCTCCTTCCCCGAGTTTCTGCACACGGGGTCGCTCATCATCGACGACATCCAAGACAACTCGCTGCTGCGGCGCGGCGGGCCGTGCGCGCACCTCGAGTTCGGCGTCGCCACCGCAATCAACGCGGGGACGGCCGCCTACTTCCTCGGCGAGGGCATCACGCGCGACCACCCCCTCACCGCCGCGCAGCGGCTGCGTGTGTACGAGCTCTACTTCACTTGCCTGCGCGGCTCGCACGTGGGCCAGGCGCTCGACCTACACGGGCTGGCGCACATGGTGCCCGCGTGCCTCGAGTCGGGCGACCTAGCGCCCGTGTGGGAGGCGCTGCTCTGCTGCCACCGTCTCAAGTCGGGCTTACCCGCCTCGGTGTGCGCGCGCACTGGGGCGGTGCTCGGCGGCGCGACGCCCGCGCAGGAGGCTGCCCTCGGCGACTACTTCCTCGCGCTCGGGCTGGCGTTCCAGCTCCTCGACGACGTCATCAACCTGCAGGTCAGTCAGCCAGCCAGTCTCACACACCTCCGAGCACCAAGGACGGGCCCACACGCACACACACACACGCTGCGCACGAGTGGACCGGGAGCCGATACGAGGCACACTGCCACCGGTCGTGTCACTGGGTCCGGACGGCTCCAACCTGCAGGGCTTCGGCAAGTCGCTCAAGACCAAGGCGGAGGACCTCATCGAGGGGAAGGTGACGGCGCCGGTCATCCGCGCGCTGATGGCGCTGGGCGCGGCGGGCGACGCGGAGCGGCAGCGCTGGCTGTGGGGGCAGTTTGGCGTGCCGGACAGCGAGCGTGAGGTCGGGGCGATGGTCGACCTGCGTGCAGCCGTGAAGAGGCGCTGTTCACACCTGCAGCTGTGAACAGGTCGGGGCGATGGTCGACCTGATCGAGGTGTGAACAGCGTCTCTTCACACCCTACTGCTGTGAATAGGTCGGGGCGATGGTCGACCTAATCGAGGCTACCGGCGCCTTCGAGACGTGCATCGGCGAGGCGAGTTGGACGGGCGACGTGAGTCCGTCTTGCGAGGCCAGCGCGGGTTTCGTTTCTGCGCATAGGCGAGGCGCACTCGATGGTGGACGCGGCCTGGCTGAAGGTGGACAGACAGACACACACACACACACACACACACACACACACACACACACACACACACACACACACACACACACACACACACACACACACACACACACACACACACACACACACACACACACACACACACACACACACACACACACACAGAGAGAGAGAGAGAGAGAGAGAGAGAGAGAGAGAGACAGACACACACAGACACACACACACACACACACCGCTCAACCACGCGCACTGGGGCTTGCACTCTGAATGCAGGAGTCGCGGGGGACGCCTGGCCCTTGCCTCACCACCTCGTGTGTGTGGAGAAGTTTACCTGACCTGACCTAAACCTGACCTCAAGGTGGACGCTGCCGTGCCCGACTCGTTCGCAAAGGTGTGCCCATTAATTAATTAATAGTAATTCATTCATTCATTAGATTAATTGATCCCGACTCGTTCGCAAAGGTGTGCCTGCGCGCCTTTGGCTGGTTCGTGTGCAAGGTTCGTGACTACTGACCCGCGGAGGCGGGCCGCCGAGGGAGGGAGGGAGGGTGGGGCGGCGGCGGTGTACTGCAACGTACTGACTCTTGGTGTGTACCATGTCCGGTGCCCTCGCTGCGGCACGGTGTGCGCGCGGACCGCGGAGGTGTGGCATGGTCCCTGCCCCCCTGCGCGCAGTGCGTTCCGGTCTGCATGGCGCTCGCGACGGACGGTCTTGTTGATATATTGGTGATGTTTACAGATACAGTATTTCGTCACGCGCGGCCAATCGACGGGGTCGACGGGGCTGGGGACAACTCTCGACAAGCTGCGTGCACATGCGCCCGTCGCAATTTATGAGCGCACGTCCACGTGCTAGTGCTGCTGCACTGGCTGCCGTCAGTATCCCATAGCGGCCATGAGATTCTTCAGCTTGGCTGCGAAGATGGGGTCCCTCAGAATCTCCTCCGCCTCGCTTGTTGACCCGCCTGCCCCTTGTGGTTGTGCCGGCGCGGTCTGAGGCGCAGGCAGCTCGGGCAATGGTGCTGGCACCGATGCTGGCGTTCGTGGAACTTCGCTCGTTGCCGGGAGGGGGTCACACGAGAGGCTCTGGCCGGCGGGTCTCCCTACGAATGCGTAGTGCTCCATCAACGCCACCAACTGGTCCTGTGAACAGCCGCTGAATGCTGAGGTCCCGCACGTGCGCTGCATGACGTCTGGGTTGCGCTTGACGTAGCACTCCAGATCGGAATGCTTGCACGCTCGGATGCGTCCCTCCTTCTTACCAGCCGTGTTCCAGTGCTCAAGCACACCCTCCCAGTTGCAGCTGTCGATTTGGTGACTGCAGTATCCGCCAAACAGATCTTCGTACCTCAAGCAGACATCGAAGTCAAATCTCAAAGACACCTCTAGGGAATGCAAAGTGGGCTGCCACACTCACAAAGATGCAGAAAAAGGGGACACCTGCGTGACGTGGCCTCTCGACGGGTTTGTTGAAGCAGAATTTGCGAAAAAAATGAATGTTTGCCGCGTGGGTACAGACGCAATTTAGTGGGTTCAGGGAGGGTTAAGCGGGAGGATTGAATTCGTATCTCAGGGCAACCTTTTAGTGTACTAGTATCTAGAACCGACCGATGTGAACGGCGCGCGCAGCGCCGAAGAAAATTTTGGCAGAAATCGCTCATAGAAATCGGCTGCTGGCTCGCCAGTACACTATGAGAAAAGGCTGCGCATGGTATGCCCATGTCTCACGCTACGAAAGCCCGAACAGAACAACCATACGGCAGGGAGCCGCCCGGCCCTGGCAAGCGCGCCGACTTGTCACGGCGAGATGGCGGCCCGCCCATACGCGGCACGCGCGCGCGCGCACGCGTGCGGCGTGCGGCTGCACACCGGCCTAGCAAAACAACTACGAGCACACCCAGACCAGATTCCGAACAAGGCACCCATCTCTTGACGACGGCGGCCGAATGGGGCCACGCCGATGCGGCGGGTTCGCCCTCTACGGCCTCACCGCTCCATTTCGACCGGCACTGGCCCGCCGACGCACTTCGGCTTTTTGCCATCGATGCAGGGGCAGAGGCACTTGCCCAGGGGAAGGTAGCAGGCCGTGCACTCGTCGTTGCACGCGATATCTGTGAAAGTGGCCGGCGCTCGTGGGCTGGCGGGTGGGGCTGTCGGGGTGGGAGGTGGGCACGCAGGCAGGCGTGACGCGAGAAGTGGCATATGCGGGCGGGCGGCTCACAGCAAACGTAGATGTCGCAGTTGGGGCAGCAGGCCCGTTTGCAGGGCCCGCACTTGAAGAGATCGCAGCAATCGCGTTTGCAAGGCCCGCAAGTCAGAATGTCGCAGCACTCTTTGCAACAGCGGCTGCACGGGCCGCACTTCAAGCAGTCCGTGCACGAGGCGCAGCCACGGCGGCACGGGCCGCACGTTAGCGTGTCGCAGCACGGCCCCTGGCCGACGCCGCACTCACAGATGCCCATACGCCCGACCCGCTGCTCTGCGGCGAGGAGAGAGAGAGAGAGGGAGAGAGGAGAAGAAGAGGTGCCGTGAGTTCGTGATGCTGAGGCGCTGTTCGCAGTTTTGGAGAGGTTCTTGTTTTGGTGCATGTGTGCGGGGTGTGTTGTCGCGATCTGCCCGGCTGCACATTCGTCTGTCGGGCGTCAGGCGGGAGCCTTGGCTCTGACGCTAGCGTCTCGCCTTCGTACAATACGGGCTCCGCTCCACACCGACCAAACCTCTCGGAGCTAATATTTGGTGGCTTTCAAGTGGTGACGCTGCACAATAATCAATGCTGAATTGCTGATTGATTTGATAGAAAGGCGAAGAACAGTCTGGCTCGGACTGGACACCAGCGCGGTGTTGCTATCTGCATGTGTGTGTGTATCGCGCGGGGGGGGGGGGGGGGGGGGGCGAAAAAGAGGAACCTTTTAGCGCCATCGCCACGGTGTTGCATGCAGCGCCGGGGGAGGAGGGTTTACCGCCTCCGGGTCCCCCTGGGCACACTTCCGCTGTTTAATTTTTGGGGACTCGAACCCGGGAAGTTTCCCCGTGCGGGGGTTACCCCGCACAGGGGTCAGCTTCCCAGCCAGGTATCCATGTTGTGCTTTTCGTCTTTTCGCCCCGGGGGGGGGGGGGGGGGCGGAAAAGAGGAACCTCTTGGCGTCATCGCCATGGTGCTGCAAGCGCCGGGCGACGACGACTTACCGCCTCCCGGTCCCCCCTCGGCACACCTCCGCTGCTTAATGTTTGGCGACTCGAACCCGCGAAGCTTCCCCGTGCGCGGGTTACCCCGTTCGCGGGTCAGCCTGCCAGCCACATATCCACGCAAGCGTTGTCCGCGCGCATGGCATACAGGCGTTCGCCAGACAGCGCAGAGGCTAGGCGACCGGGGAAGGACTAGCTCAAGGGCAACACAGCGTCACCAGCCGTTGGCGCGCAGAACGAGTCTGCGGCCCCCGGTTGGGCCGAGTGCGCGACGCGGACGAACCGCTCAATATGGCCGGCAGCTCGCGCTGTCGGCGGGGTTGGTTGGGGAGAACCGGCACGGGGAAGGCCGGCCTCCCCGGAGGGGTCGCCCCCTGGAGGGCGGGGGGCCCCAAAGGTCCCCCCGGGAGGGCGGGGGTCCCCGCCCCGAGGGGCGGGGGCAGTTTCGTCGCCTGGCGCGATGGAGTCCACCCTTGTTGCCAAGTCGGCGAGCGTGTTGTGTATCGAGAGAGAGACCATAGCAGATGCGAGAGCGGCGTCGTCCGGGGAGAGGGGTGGGGGGGGAGGGACAACATCGAGGGTAAGTACGCATCGCGCTCCCCGATCGTCTCCGATCTCCCTCGCCTGCTCGCTCGGCACGTACTCGGACCAAAACAAGAAGAATCTTACAAGAAAGAAAACAGACAACCCAAGGGAGGGATGGGAGGACGGCACGCCGCCACCACACAGGGATTTTAAGGAGAGGAGTGTGATGCGCTAGCCGTCGCCCACCCTTGGGCGTCCGCCTCTTCCTATCTCTCTTCGCAGTCTCTCGCCGATTCTCGCTGCAACCTTCATGCCACCTCGCGGCCGTCCCACTCTCGTCGGTCTCTCCCTTGTCACTTCCTCCTCTGTCGCGTCATTCTCTTCTGCCTCGTCCTGCGCCGCCGCCGCCTGCCGGTCCCTTGTTCTCGCGGCTTCTTTCGCCTTAAAAGGCTTTTTCTCGCGATGTCCACCCCTCCGCGCCGCTCGCGCCGCTCGCGCCGCCTCGCCCCCGCCGCCACCGCCGCTCCCTCGCCAAGCACGCCGCCGCCCACCCGCCTCCTCGACCTCCCCACGGACCTCCTCGTGCGCGTCGTCTCTCGCTGCGACGGCCCCGTTGACATCGCTCGCGTCGCGGCCGTCTCGCTGCTCTTTCACGCCTCGCTTGCGGTGGAGGGCATCCGCTTGAGGGCGCAAGAGCGCGGCTACGAGCTGCCGGCGCAGCCAGAGGGCGAGGGCTGCGCCGTGAGGTGGGTGTGCTATTCGGCGCTGCTGTGCGAGTCCAACCCGCCGGCGAGGGCGGCGGCAGGCAAACGGCACAGCGTCTTCATCGACGGCGAGGGGCGGCTCTCGTCGTGCGGCAATGCGCCGTCCTTCCTTCCAGGGCTACTCGGCCACGGCGAGGGCGTGACGCGGCTCAACACGCCGACCCGCCTCCCGTCGATGCTGGGCGGCGAGCGCGCCGTGAGTGTGTCGGCTGGAACCGCGCACACCCTCGCCATCACCGCCGGCGGCGCCGTCTGGAGTTGGGGCTTTGGAGGCGACGGCCGGTTGGGCCACGGCGACCAGCAGAACCATCTGCTGCCAAAGAAGGTCGAAGCCTTTGCTGGCCAGCGCGTCGTCACTGTGTCAGCTGGACCCGCGCACAGCCTCGCCCTCACCACCAACGACGGCGTCTGGAGCTGGGGCTGGGGAGCCTTTGGCCGGCTGGGCCACGGCGACGAGCAGAACCAGCTGCTGCCCAAGAAGGTCGAGGCCTTCGCTGGGCAGCGCGTCGTCGCTGTGTCGGCTGGAGGCAACCACAGCCTCGCCCTCACCGCCGACGGCGCGCTCTGGAGCTGGGGCAATGGCTACCGTGGCCGGTTGGGCCACGGTGACGCACAGGACCAGTGGCGACCAGAGAAGGTCGAGGCGTTGGCTGACCAGCGCGTCGTTGCCGTGTCGGCTGGAGGCATGCACAGCCTCGCCCTCACCGCCGACGGCGGCGTCTGGAGCTGGGGCTATGGAGGCCACGGCCAGCTGGGCCACGGCGACGAGCAACACCAGCTGCTGCCCAAGAAGATCGAGGCCTTTGCGGGGCGGCGCGTGATCTCTGTTCTGGCTGGAGCCGTGTATAGCTTCGCCTCTACTGCCGACGGCGCCGTCTGGAGCTGGGGCGATGGATACCAAGGCCGGTTGGGCCACGGCAACCAGCAGAACCAGCTTCTGCCGAAGAAGATCGAGGCCTTCTTGGCGCGGCACGTCGTCGCTGTTTCTACTGGATCCGTGCACAGCCTCGCCTTCACTGCCACCGGCGCCGTTTTTGCCTGGGGCCAAGGCGAGACCGGCTGCCTGGGCCACGGAGAGGACCTGTCGAACCAGCTGCTGCCCAAGGAGATCGATGGGTGGGCGTCGGGGCGGTGAGAAGAGAGAGAGGGCGTCGAGTCGAGGACCAGCGGCTGCTTCTGTGAGAAGATCGAGCTTCAAGGCGTGGGCGCGCCCACCGTGGGGAAGACGGTGTGGAATCCGTCGTAAACGTAAAGCCGCAATATACAGTATGTTTCGTCACGATGCCTTACCCTGGCTACAAGAGCGCACACATACAAGAGCACAACGACCTGTTGAACGTGCGCGTGCGGACGTCGCGCGTACGGGGTAGGCTCTCTGTGGGTCAGGGTCCGCGCCCCGCGTTCCACAAGCGCAGGAAGGGCATGCGCACTCGCTCCCACGCCCCCTGCAGGTCGTCGGCGGCGGGCCGCGCGTCGATGTGCATCGCGACCTGTTCACAGCGGCGTGGCTGTGAAGAGACGGGAAGCCGGTCGCGCCCTGCTGCATCTCGGCTGTCTCTCGGCTGTCTCTCGGCTGTCTCTCGGCTGTGTCTCTCGGCTGCACCTCGGCTGTGTCTCGGCTGTGTCTCGGCTGTGGCTCGGCTATCTCGGACTAGCGGCGACCGGCTTGCCGGCGATGGGCCTCGCGTTGTAGTAGTCGATGAGGTAGCGGACCTAAGGTAATTAGTGATCAATTAATCAACTCGTTAATTCACGCGTTGAGGTAGTCGATGAGGTAGCGGGCCAGGCTAGCCCTCGCGACTCCACGTCTAGACGACAGGAGCTAGCACGGCATTCAGAGTGCGAGGGTCCGGTCGGACCTCCTTGCTGCACCGCGAGACGACCCATATCTCCCCCTATATCTCCCCCTATCCCCCCCCCTATCTCCCGGTCGGACCTCCTTGCCGCACCGCGAGACGACCCATATCTCCCCCTATATCTCCCCCTATCCCCCCCTATCTCCCGGTCGGACCTCCTTGCCGCACCGCGAGACGACCCAGTCATGCCGGTCGAACGGGGGCTTGTAGCCGACGGCGGTAAACAGGCGCGCCTTTGGAGTCGGCTCGTCGGGCACGCCGCCGAACCGCACCTGGGGAGATGTGGGGAGATGTGGGGAGATGTGGGGAGATATGGGGAGATGTGGGGGGATCTCATTAGTATGATGATGTGATTTCTGAGGACATTGCACCAGCTTGAGGTCGTCGACGCACTCGGGGTAGTGGCGCTCCCAGAGCAAGATCTCGCGCCTACACAGGGCGTTGCGGTAATCTCGGGCAATCTCCGGGTACTCTCGGGGTGATCTCGGGGTGATCTCGCGCCACGTGCGCTCGTTGACAGTGTTGTGGATGGCGACGACGGTGCGCATGTCCTCCTCTTGCGGCTCGAAGCCCTTCCGGCGCATCGCGTTGTAAAACATCTGCGCCGACGGGTACACCCAGTGGCCCCCCTCCGCACCTGCCTGCGGGATCGTCGACTCCACCCTCTCCTTTGACAGCGGCAGCCGCTGCCCAGCCGCGGGAAGCTGGTTCGCCACCGCCGGCATCGCGTTGTCGGGGTTGAGCCGCTCGCCCGCCGGCGAGCCTCTCGCGTGCACCGGGCAGCCGCTCGTGCTCGCCGAGCCCGCCGCCGCCGCCGCAGAGTCGCCGCCGGACGTCTGGGCGGCCGCGGCGGCGGAGGCGGTCTCGGCGGCGGCCGGCGAGTGGATCACGGGGCAGCCCATTCGGAGGCGCGGGTCCTGCGCGTGCGTCGGAGGGCGCGGGCGTTCGATCCTCTGCGCTTGCCGGCTGCTGGGATGTGCGCGTGCGTGTGAGTTTCCGTCCATCGGGTCCAACGGTGACCGACGCGGGGTCAGTCGATGCGCAGACCCGGAGATCAGTCATGTGGCCATGCTCGCTGGGAGCGTTGCTCGTACGTGAGGGCGAGCGCGCTACGGAGAAGGAGTGGCGGCGGGCGCGGGGCGAGGCGAGGGCGCGGAGGTGGCGGCAAC